AAAAAAGAATGAGTTTAGACTACATGGTTCTCTTTTAGGAAAAGAAAAACAGTCTGAGCAGCATTTCAGCTGATGTTACTCTACATACTGCCCCTGAAATTCAGCTGCAGGCACACTGCATAAGTGTGGCAGTCTTTCAATAAATAGTACTAACCATACTTAGAGTCCCTTCTTAGACTAAGCGAGAACTCCTTTAAAACTGCTTGTGAAGTTGTAAGTGGAAATAGTCTCCTTAATCTTAGATTTTTTGGGGTTGATGCTGATGGATTTCTGTCTCAAAGTGAAACACCAAACATGTGCTCAGGAATTCACAGCGCCCGTCGCCCAGCACTGCTGAGGATTAACTGGAGCCTAATCAGTGCTTGCTGAAGGAAGGAAGAAAAGGTGCTTTGTGCTCCCTGCTCTCTTTTGTAATGTTGTTGTGTCAACTAAAGGTGTAGGCCAATGAGATAAAACCGTTCAGTGACACCAGGGCTTAACCTGGTGGGTCAGGCAGCAGCTTATGGACCTCGGATGGAAGGGGTAATGATGGGTACAGATGTGCAGGCAGGGCCAACATGTAAACCAGCACCCAAATTTCCTTTGGATGCCTATTCTAAAGCTAACAAGACTAAGGAAAATGAAGCTCACTTCAGGCAATAAGAAGGAACCACACTGGCATCTGGTGTCATCATCCCTTCTCCGTGATTTTTAGAAATAAATGTCAACTAGTCCACTTGCTTAAATAATTGTTGTTTTTCAAATGTTGCATAATTAATGTCATTCCTGTAACACATTGTTCATATTAAGTCAGAATTTTTATTGTCTTTTTGTTCTAAATGAAATATCAAACTCTGCTGCCCTACATCCAAACTGAAACCACTCCCTAAATAGCAAAAGCAGAGTTGGTCTAAGCCCGTCTGTCTGCCAGTGCAAGAGACAGTCATGAATTCCTGCTCCTGCACAGCACCCATGCAGCCAGGGGGTGAGCTGCACCAGCTTCCTGATGCCTCTGAGGGGTGGTCCTCAAAATCTATAGAGGAGTTTCGTGTTTTTATTCTGCTTTGCTGCTGATATTTTAGGATAAGGGTAGAGTCTGAGTGCAGTTGAGATGAGCAGACAACTGTTGGTACTGACAGGAGCTGTCACAGTCTGTAGATGAGTTTTTGGCTGGATCTGTTTGATAGAGCTCTGATATGGTTTGTGGCTGGGCGCTGTGTATGTGCTAGAGCAGCACAAGGGTGAATGAAGAGGAGAAACAAATCTCTTTAATGGCAGTACAGGCACAGGACGGTTAAAAGAAGGGAGAAATTTTGCTGCTTCTTCCTTTCATCCTGGCTGCCTGATCTTGCACTGTCTCTTGGGCCAGTTCTGGTGTGCTGAGCCAGTCGAACTCATTAGTCCAGCAGAGAAACGTGTACTTTTTGCCAGATTAATGAATTCCGCCAGTGCGGCGAGTAGCCTGCTGTGTGCCAGAGCTGGCATGAGCTGACCCTGGGGGATGGAGAGCACTAAATTCCTTTTTGATGGTTGGAAGGGATTAGATTGATCTGCACTATCTCCGTGAACTTCACCATTAAGTGCAGGCTTTCTTTTTGAGGGCTTACTGATTCTTACATGTTAATAACTTGAACTTGAATAACTTTGGAATGAGAAGAAAAGAAATCTCTGAGGTGCCTGGGGGTAAAAACGTGACGCTTTTCAGAGGTATGCATACAGCAAGGTGGGAAGTAGCTCTTCTCTCTGGTTGTGTATTTTGCATCTCTGAGAAATTCATGTTAGGGTTTGACCTTTATAGAATTTATGTATGTTTTTTTTAGTATGTCCTGTGTTGTACAGTGGGATTTACTTAAGCCTTTAAGGCTGAAATAAAATCAGTTACAAAAATAGGTGTTTTCCATTAATGTATCATTGCTGAGTACTCCTGCAAGCACTTTTACCCCCTTTTTACACTTTTTTACACTTCTACCATGCTATGTGAAAGACCCTTACAACCTGGGAAAACTGTCCTTCTCCATAAGTAAATGGAGGTAATAAAGTCTTGGCCAAGAAATACCCTGCTTTTAAGTTTGGAGGTTGAACTGTGTTCATAATGTATAGATTTTTCTTTCTTTATATAACTGGAGAAATGGTATTTTAAAGTAGTAAATTACAACACGTTTGTTTACTGGTTAGTATTTCTATCTACCTATTTTTTGCTTAAGAGTTGCACCTTAAGGCACTATGTCATGAATAAGTGTAACTGTAGTTACTGTTGCTGTGGTGTTTGTATACAGACACTCAGAGCTGCAGAAACTTAGGGTGATGCACAGAATTTGAAAAACCGTTGAAAATATCTATTCCTAAGCTGTTAGATCTTTTCAGAGGATTTGTTTTGGTTTTTTTTTTTCTGCTTTCCTGCTTATGTTTTAGAATGTAGAGTATGATGATGTCGAGATGTCTTATATTTTAGAATATGATTGTGTTTAAGATGAGCACACAACTGCTGGTGCTGACAGCAGCTCTCAAACTGCCAAAATTGGTCAGTTAAGGACCAAAACACATTCCGTGACTAAAACACTGCTCTGCACCATGGTGGTTGCCTTGTGATGACATCTGCCCTGTCATGTTCTTGAGCTGGCTGCCTCTGTGGCCTTCTGAAACGCAGAGTCAGGAGCGTTGAAGCTGCGTGCCAGCACTGCTTCCTCTGCTCCCAACCTGGGCTTGGCAGCTGGAAGAGTTTCTGAGCACTCGGCATAGCTGTAGTGAATGAAGGTGTTCAGGAAGGGACTGGCATGTAATTGTGGCACGAGGAGATGGGGATCTGAGCAGGCCACTCAGATTTTGCTGGAGGAATAAGCCTGTTGGAGCTGTCAAGTGCTGTGTCTTGTATTTCACTTCTGGAGATCTGGTTGCATCAATGAGACGTGGAGTATCCCTTTCAGCTTCCAGAAGGATTAATGATGCCTGTGTCTGTGTGGGGAGATGGTAGCACCAGGAGCCTGGGATGGACCAAGTACAGAGCTGGTGGCATAGGAGCAGTAGAGAGAATGATCTGCTGCCGAAAGGGAGAGGGAAAGGGTCCTCAAATAGAGGTGCTGAAGTCAAAGAGTAAGAAATCTGGTTAGGGCAAGATCGAAATGCCAGCTTGAAAGGTGGTCTGAGGCATGACACTTGCTGCAGTGTCCTGGCAAGAGCAGGGAGTGTGCATGTTCAGAAATGCCACTGGTCACTGGTACTGTGCCTGCCTGACTGGGGCAGGAACCCAACCGTGGTGCTCATTGACTGACTTTCAGCTGTGATAGGCAGGCAGGATTGATTCTTGGTTTTGGGTGTTTGCTTTTTTTTGTGACTGGACATAGCTGGGATGTACAGCTCCCTTTTAGGGGAGAGCTGGGTTTTTTTAGCAAGATCTGTGTTGATGATGCCTCGATGTTAATGCCTCTAGTTCTTTCAGAGTGCCTTTAGTCAGTAATTTCATTTTGCAGACAGAAAGCAGAGGTGCATTTCCATGTATTTTGCTTTTCCTTGCTTTGTCACAAAGCCAGCAGTATTCTGGAGCATACAGCTATGCTCCTGCCTTCCACTGTGCCTGAGCCAGATGGAGCAGGCTGGTAGCACTTGCTCCAGTGCAGCTGTGCTGAGCGAGTTCCAGCTCCTGGAATGATTTGAGAAGCTAGCCTGTGTTATCCAGCTTAGTCCTAAGGTGCTGATGAGGTGCAGGCTGCCATGTGCAAGAAAGGGTCAAACCAGTCTGGTTTTAGATATGGATGGTAAAATGTCATCTTGGTTAATTATTAGTCTAGCTAAATTCTCCAGTTACTCATTTGGATTACTAATGATTGGGTGTTTACTCTTCTGGATGCCTATGACTTCTTCCACCTGGAGTCTCAGGTAGCTTTCAGTTCTGGGAGGATTTCTTCAGCAAGAGAATCATACTGTCCTGTTTGATGTCCAATAATATCTATTCTCTGATGGAGAGACTACTGGATGTAGTAGTGCTTAGCTTTCTGTAAAGAGCATTGCCTTGGATGCAGTCTGTGTCCTGACCGTTTCCTCATTTTGGCAAATTTTAGTTCCTGTGAGTTCCCAATACATTTTTAATCATAGCAGGAAAAATATTTGCCCCAGCAGAGGGGGATGGTATGTCCCAGAGGAGGAAATGAGGGGCTGGGGATAAAGTAGGGACTGCCCCAGTGCTGGTACCGTGCACTGAACTGTGTGTGAACTCGGGTGTTCCATGCAGTTAGTAGTTTTTGTTGGAAAGCTGAGACTCAGTATTTGTGTGGAATAGCTGCAGCATCCTGGGCACGCCAGACTTGTGTGCATCTTAGTGTGGTAACAGTGATAGAAGGGCTTATTACACTGCAGTCTGCCTGGTTTAAACTGTCCCCGGATATTTATTCTGTTGTTGAGCAAGCAGAAGGTTAAATTACAGATAGTTATGAAAAATGTCAAACTGTAAATGAAGATTACTTTCGTTCTGTGGAAAGTCTTTTTGTTTTCTGCCTTCCCTTTCTTCTCATTCACTGCCCTTCTGCTAGCACCAGATTCAAGGGTGTCTGTAAGTTGGTGTTTGCATTATCATGTATGAAAGACTTGAATAAGTGTTATGGGCTTCTTTTTTTGTTTGTGTGTGAAACTTTTTAAGGAAATTGAATACAGCAGATTTTTTGTTTCAAAATTGCTTGCTAGACTGTAAATATTATGTGTTCAAATCATATTCTCAATTTTCTGCACCTGAATAAAAATTTTGACAAGCCTCTGGTGAACTTTGGCTAAAATTTCAGAATTTTGAACATTGTTAAAGTCACTGGGAAGTGTGGGAACTGATAGGTGAGTAGTAAATCATCATTAGGTGAATTTTGTCATGCGTGTCCCAAAAGTATAGAGATCCTACATCAAGGATCTCTATCTCTGTCTTATTCTTGTCTTGAATATTTGCCTCTCTAATGTCTGTCTTCAAGGTCTGTGCAAGGTTGTATCCCAGCCTATGCTGTTGACTGTGTTTATATAATTAACCAGTATTTTTTTCTTTCAAGCAGGGAATCATTAGCAGAGTGACAGAATCAGTGAAGAACATTGTACCAGGGTGGTTACAGAAGTATTTCAATAAAAGTGAAGATGAATGTGTAGATACAAATGAATCTGCAAACCAGGAAGAGAGTCCAGTAAACTATCACCATGATTATGCAAATGAAGATGCTGTAGTGATTGATGGGAGAGTCATGCCTGAATCAGCAAGAATTAATTTAGAAGGTATGTGAAAAATCATTTTGTATTCTGGCCATCTGTATTTATTCACAGATCTCTAGTTTTGAATCTAAATTTCTAAAGGGAAAGCTGGAAGAAGCATTTTGACAGAACTTAAAAAAAAAAAAACAACCCAACAACCAAAAGAATCTATACACAAACCAAAATGCCCCAAAACACCCAAACAAAAAAAAACCTCAACAACTGTTTGTGCAACTGCCTTATCTTTAAACTATAAACATAATTATGAAACCTAATGGAAGTTGTCTTACAGCTCTTGGAAGACATCTGTTAACTTCAGGTAGTTGATTAGCCAGGTGCAAAATATTGGTAAATATTCATTTGCAAGAGTACTGGGTTGCATTTTCTTTTTAGAAGGTCTGGAATGAAAGTCCTTCTAATTGCCTAAGGTAATAAAAACATAAATTTCTTCTGTTGTCCTCAAAACAAAAGACCAGATGCTAGAATGCCAGAGGAAAATTCCTTCTCGCGTCCTGATGATTTTATTTTTTTTTTCCTTCCCTTTGGGCTCCTTCAATCAGTTTAGTGAAGTTCCTTTTTAGTTAAAACTGGGGAACTTGGTTTATGACATTATTCTTTTTGATCTATTTGGTAACATTAAGATATGTGTATGGCTAGCACAGGGTCCTTGAAAACCTATTTGGACCATTGGCAAAGAAGTTTGCAGCCTCTTACTTTATCATATAAAAGATTAATCTGTGTTTTCTATCTGTGCCTCACTTTGCAGTTCTCTGTAAATTTGCATATGCTCTCATTGAGTTGGCTTTCCTGAAGAGCTGTATGAAAGGACCTTGCAGTAAGAACAGCTGCACAGCAAACTTCCTAGCTCCAAGAAATGAGGAGCAGATGGACACCCTAGAACCTTTAGTCGCTTGTGTTGCAGTCTGAATGTTGTAGGCCAAGCTGTCTTGCTATAGTTAATGATAAGATGTCAAAATTATTATTACTATTATATAATTTTAGAAAGCCTGTTTCTTCAGCTGAGGTACCAGTGTGGTAGAGCCTGTGTCCCTCTACCTTCAGCCTGGATAACACTTTATCTCAAACAAGACAGTCGTCCTAAAAATTTACCAGTGCTTTGAAGAACTCATTACTGGTACTGTGGTGGTTATGAAAATTGAGCTAGTTAGTTTAAGCTTCAGTGCAAATATCAAGAGGACTAAAAATCATGTTCATACCCAGAATTCCCAGGAAATTCTGTGGACTTACGTGGGTATCTGTTCCATTCATGTGGCAACTTGGAGCTGTAAGACCACCTCTTGCAGGATACTGGCAGTGTTTGCAGACCCTTTGGTTTGTGAGGGAAAAATGCCCATCTTGCAGCTGAGGCCATGATACTCTACTTGGCCTCTGTGCAAAAATCCCAAAAGTTAATGGGTAGGGGATAATGTTTTGCCTGTAGCATGACCTGTTACAGTAGAATTTGGGAGAGGCGACCACAACACCAAAACAAACAAAATTTTGCCAAGGTTTAGAGGCTGGGCTGGTTACTAGACAAATAACAGATGCTCTCTGTTAACCCCTCTCCCTTCCCAAAGGGGAAGACAAGAGAGTAAGGGAGAGAGACTTAACGGGTTGGAAAACTAAACCAGCTTTAGTTAAAGTAAAAATGATGCAATGAAATATATAGAAATATTTCAAAAGCCAGTATTGAAACCATCCCCCTGGTGGCAATTACGTCACTGTCCCACTGATGCTGTGGAGGAGGCGCTGGGGAAGTCCCAGGCTGGGCTCAGTGGCAGATGGGAACTGGGTTCTGGAGCTGGATTCAGGGACACATGGATCAGGATCAAAGGCACAGCAGGGAGAGAGTCCTCCTCAGACACCAGGCACTGAAGAGAAGGCTTGGCCCTCGTGATCCCTCAGCTTTATACCCAATGTGACCTACATGGGATGGAATCCCTTGTTGGCCACTTTAGGGTCTCCTGTTCTATCCTTCTCACAGGCGCAAGTACAAAAACCTCTGTAAATATGTGTTTTCATGTTATGTTTTCAGATCAGCATCATCTTTGTTGTGAGATCATATACACTTCAGAGTTGCCTGTAACTTTCCATATAGTCCCAAATTTTTGGAAAGCTTACTGCAAGCTTTTATCTGCAGAAGAAGGAATTTATACGTTTGGTTTGGTGAAAGACACGACGTTGGAGCACTTGAGCATGGGGATAGGATTTGCTGTTGTAAAACCTCGTCGTCAACTGCTTCTTAATGTGACTAATACTTGGTATCACAGGCAGTGCCACTGTCGTAACCAGACAGTTTGATGAAACCCTATCTGGATGAGGAAGAAGTTAAATTCGTCTCTCTATTTTAGTGCTTAGAACTTGGCAGTAGCAGGACTGTTGATAGAAAGCAGGTTTTGGCTTCTGTGAGCCTGCTTGTAGGAAAGCTAATTGTCCCCTCGTTCTCGTTCAGAACCATCTACGAGTAGATCTGCACTGAACTTCTCAGATGTGCTAACGAGGCCCTCTCTTCACCGGAGCCATTTGAACTGTACCATGTTGGATTCCACAGTACCACATTGCCAGCCCTCCACGTCAGCTTCGCTGGGCATTGGCAGTCCTGGACTGTCTCTTGTAAAAGAAATAAAAGATTCTACCTCTCAGCATGACGATGATAACATCTCAACAACCAGTGGCTTCTCCTCTAGAGCATCTGACAAAGGTAACTTTCATGTTCTCTAGTTGATTTTTTTCCTGTACTGTGAAGCACTTTGCATTCTTTAATATTCCATACTTTCCATCAATTCCATACTCTAGTAAAGAAAGTAGGTGAATGTCAGCTTTGGATGTTAGAATTAAACTTGATTTTTACTATTTTAGATGTATGTAATTCTGCCACCTTTTCAATAGAACCGTGCTTTGGAATACATTTATGAGGTGTTGAAAAGAGTCTGTGCTGATAAACACACTTGTAGTGAGGCTGCCTGTAAATCCTGAGCTGGAGGAACTGGAGATGACTCGCTGTGGCTTGACAGCTAGGGTGATTGCCTAGAAGGAGGAGTGTCAGAGTATCTAACTGAAAACTGGTTAAATGTCAATAAATACAGGTGACAAATAGAAACATGAGATGCTTTCCTGTGGCTTTACCAGGAGTCAAGAAAGGAGCTGTTCTCACTGAACAGGTTTTAGGCTGCTTTTTTGACCTTTATTGGTTGAAGGCATCTGTTGCCATCACTGCCATACCTTTTGCTGAATTCACTAAGAAATGTACACCACTTCAAAGTAAAAATAGCAAACATTGTATTGACGTAGATGAAGACCTATGTGATCTCACTGAGAAAGGGCAAACAGCAGGTTTGCAGCTTTTTCTAGTCCCCCGTATAAACTGGGATTGAGGCATGCTCAGCAAGTTCTTTAGAAAACATAATTTTACATTTCAGAGCAGATGTTGCCATGGTTTAGCAATATAACCTGGGTTTACTAGAGCCTTCTGGTGTGTCACTGTGAGACATACATGGAAAATTGGTTGTTATCACTGTTAACTCAGTTTTTTGGGAATTTTTCAGATGTAAAACCTGTGCAGTTCTGCCCAATGGTGGTCCCTAACCCCTTCCCAGCATGGGAAAAACTTTGTGCCATTATAGACATGCCACTGTTTATGCAATTCCCTTTTACTTTACCATGAAAGAAGAGAAAAATAAAGTTGTTCTGCATTGAAAGCATAGTAGTAACTTGTTGTCCATGCTTTTGAAGATTATCAAAAGGTAACATTTGCAGTTCTGTGAACAGGGTCAAAGTTCAGAGTGTGATACTTGGTTTTTCTACTATATGTGAAACTGATCTCTTTGAAGAACTCTGAGGGTTAGAGTGCTGGAGAAATGAGTGTTAGGGGACTTTTTCAGTCTGTAAGATGTATTTTTCTCTGTTGAAGAGTTCTGGAATTAGTGTGGTCTTTAATATTAAGTTCTCTGTATTCACAAAGCATTTCCATATTGCCTGTGTCATTTTGGCAGATATCACAGTTTCAAAAAATACTTCGGCACCACTGCTCTGGTCTGCAGAGGCTGAAAGATCTCATTCCCTCTCACAGCATCCTGCAGCTAGCTCTAAAAAACCTGCATTCAACTTATCTGCTTTTGGATCTCCCTCTTCTGTAAGTACTGCACAGTATTAATTTTAATCAAACTGAATTTTTAGCCATTTCACTAACCACTTATCCTAATACCTTTCTTTAGTCTCTTGGAAACATTTCTGTCTTCAAGACAAGCCAGCTTGGGGATTCTCCATTTTACCCTGGAAAGACCACTTATGGTGGTGCAGCTGCAGCAGCAAGGGAAACAAAAGCACGAATTGCTCCTTATCAGGTAAGAGAATAATGGTGCAGAGTGAGGGAAGGTCGTTGAAATACAGAAATTCAAATGTAGTAGAGCTGTGAGCAGGGAGATGAAAATGTGGCAACGGTTCCTAATTTGCCCTCTCAGCCTACGCAAGTAGAAAAGAACTTCTATTTCTTATTAATTTCTTCTTTAACAGTTTACATAGATATACTTGGTATAATGCACAAGATCAACAGTAATATCTTAGGTTTTTCTGAGTTGTTTGTAGCTGGAATTTCCTCTGTTGTCTTTGAAAAAAATCCCTTTTTCTGATGTTCTCTGCTTCTGACTGTATTATGTTAAAATAACATGTAAATAAACCCAGTGATGGCATAATTTTGAGAACTTTTGTTACTAGCAGCAAAAGCTACCGGATTAATACTTGTCTGTAGGTCTTACACAAGCCTTCCTGCACTCATGTTATGAATATATTGTGTAAAACAGAGCAATTTTACTATAGTAGTGTTTAAAAGGCAACTTTGGTGATCCTTTGCTCTTCTGTTACCTAGAGAAAGGTATGCAGTCCTCAGTGTAACCTCAAGATAAACTGTAAAATGCTTTATTTTAATATCATTCAGAGAGCTCATGAAAAGAGTTACTTGCCCCTAAGAGTTCTTCGTGTTCTAAAATGAACCAGCAGATGAAAAAGGCTGACAACTTTCAGTAGCTAGATTTGAATCAAAAAGGAAGTGAATAAAGTCTGGTTTGATTGGAATGTGTTTAAATCAAAATGACCTTTAGTAAAAAAATAAAAAGTAAGAATGAACTTTATTTAAGGAACTGGAAATAGTTTGCTGGAGCTATTCTGGCAGTGTTTCTTGGATGGGACAAGGGGAACCTACAGGAGGACTTGACTTAGGGGGAACCTTGAAAACTTGTGGTTTGTTCTGACCTGGTGTTAAATCCAACTTCAGAACACTCAACTTCTGTAAGCAGGGAGCCCTCTTTGGTCAGCTGTTTTTAGGTTTTACAAAATAAATGTGGATTATGCTGGAAACGGGAAGGAACCAAAGTACTAGGCTTTTAAAGGAGAGACTAGCTGGCTTGTTGCTGCATGCTACAGAAGACAGGGAGTCTCACTTGTGTTTTTTTACTTGCTTTATGGTCTGTTTCCTGTCTTCACACAGCAGTGTGCTAAGCATGATGTGGTTACAAAAGGTTTAACAGAATTTTTTTTTTAAAGTCACACTGAAAGAAATTGGAAAAAAAAATAAAATAAATAAATTCAAAGTTACCTGGTACAAACAAAAGAGTATTTATTCAGTGTGATGTTCTAGAGCTGTTAGAGTTCAAATCTGATCTTTAGCTTTTTAAACAGAGTAAAGAAATCTGCAGTCAAGTGTAATCTTAGGGAAGGGAAGAAATGAGAGAAGTAAGACTAGAAATTCCCGAGGACGATTACAGCCCTGGGTTCTAAGGTGGTGTGCTCAGCTCACACCGTTGTGAAACTGAGATCTGTTTTGTTACTGAAAGTACTTTCTGCAGCACAAGACTTTGCTTCACTTCTCTTCTCATGTTTACTGCTTCAGGAGACCCTATAGGCTCCACACCTTCCCGTTTGCAGCCTTTGGCATTTAAGTTTCTTTTGTTGCTTTATGCCCTGTGCAACTTAAATCTCTGTGAGGTCAGTAGAGTCTATTCTCTTCTTCATGGCTTGAATGCCCAGGGAGCGCATTTTTCTTTGTCATCACGAGAGTATTGGTTATATCATCAGCATGGCCTTAGGGCATAAAATATGCACATTTAATTCAAAATCAAGCATCATAGCATTTGCAATGCTGATTTTTCAGCCACCGGTAAGAAGACAAATGAAAGCTAAACAAGCAAGCGTGCAGTCCTACGGCGTGACGAGCTCCACAGCACGCCGCATCTTGCAGTCCTTGGAGAAGATGTCCAGTCCTTTGGCGGTAAGTGGCACTCCTTTCAATCTGTTTCATGTGCTTGAAAAATGTAGCAAATGTGCCAATAGAGGATGATCTTCCTTATGTAGTGTCCAGATGAATTTATTGCACTGTTTTTTTCAACAGGATGCTAAAAGGATTCCATCTTCGGTGTCTAGTCCACTGTCTTCTGTAAGTCGATCGTAAACCCCCTCCCCTTTTTGCTGGATGGAACCCTTTCTTAGGAAAATCATCCTCTAATATTTAGGCTTATTTTCCCTCCCATAGCCTGTGGACAGGAGCATGCTGAATATTTCCAGCTTCCAACCTAAACAAAAACAGGTAAGGACCAGTAACATCTGAAGCTGACATAGATAACTTCCTCTGCTTTATAGCTATGAGAAGAAATGTCACAAACCTCAATGACAGCATACACATGAATTCAAGTTAATATTGGCATTATGTGAATTATGGCTGTCTTGGCTGTGTTGAAATTGCTAAAAATATCTTTTCTACCCACACTAGATGAAGGACCGTGAAGATTACTCAGGTTAAGAGTTCTGTTCTCTTTATGTGGTGGTGTCTTGATATGTCAATCAAGAACAACTTCTCCAGAACATGAAAAGTAGTTTTATTTTGTCCCAGAACTTGGGGTTGAGTTGCATGTTAATCTCTGTGTTCAGGAAAGCTTTCTCTTGCAGAAATTATCAGAAATGGAAAATACCACTTGAGTGATCATTACAGACCGTGTGCAGATTTTCACACATTTTTTAATAGAAAAAATAATACTTATGCTTTTATTACTGCTCAAAGTAAGGGGGAGGAAAATTGTTAGATGTTGTCACTTCTGTAAATTTATGTTCCTAAATTCCTATTTGGATGTAGCACTGAATTGTGGTAATGCTGTGGTAAATCATCTTTTCCTTCAGTTTTGTTAAAAAAAATAATGTTTTTTAATCTTTTTAATTTTAAATTGTAAAATCCTCAAAAGGCCACTTTAAGATCGGGCAATCAGAGGAATGGAAGTGTGTTTTTTCTTCCATGCAAACTTTTCATCTGCTTTTTTAATGAGGAAATAGATGGAATGTCTCAAGAAATTTCTATGCTAATCCCATGATTAGGAGTATGATTAATTTTACAGTCACTTCAGAGTTTACAAACGTTTTGGATTTCCTGTAACATCTTTGGTCATATGCTCAACTGTCGAAAAGTAGAGCATATAATTTCTTTAATATAACTGATACCCAAATAATCGAAAACAAAGCTGGTATGGATTCCAAGTTAAGCTGTGGAACTACACCTGTGAGGAGGCATTAAGAAAGATCTTCCAGATTTGCAGCATAGAGCCTGACGTCAGTCAGAATGTTGCATGCAGCTGTCACTGGGTAAAAGCAGAGAAATTGTCTGATCATAAGACTAGAATTCATAAAATTTGGCAGGGGACGGGTAGCCCTGGACGCAAAGGGGAGGAGAGAGTTGTGTGTTTGCTAAGGCAAATGTGTGGTTGGCAGAACACTTGAGCACTCGGGCAACACTTCTGTAGGTATTTTTTGTGGTATTTGTCTTATTTTGACAATCTTCACTAGACAGAATAGCTTTTAGTGTATAAAACATCTTACTGGGTGACTTGTTTTTTCCATGGCACATTCCTGTCTAAGTTGGTATCTTTCAATATAAGGTTACCTGCCTAGTGGATGAAGGGAAGGTGGTAGATGTAATTTTTGTGGATTTGAGGAAAGCTTTTGATGCTGTCCCTCACAGCATCCTCCTGGACAAGTTGTCCAGCTGGAGGATGAGCAGGTAGATAGTGTGCTGGGTGAGTAATTGGCTGAAGAGTAGAGCTCAAAGGTTTGCAGCACACATGGCTACATCTGGCTGGTGACCAATCACCAGTGGTGTTCCTCAGGGCTCACTTTTAGAGCAAATTCTGTGCAATATTTTCATCAGTGATCTGGATGCAGGAGCTGAACCCACCCTTAGCAAGATGGCTGGTGATAACAAACTGGGAGCTGCTGTTGACAAGAGGCCTTGCAAAGGGACCTAGATAGGTTGGAGCATTGGGCAGTTGTTAGTGGCATGAAGCTGGACAAATTCTGTACCTGGGGAGAGCAACTCTGGACACAAGTATAAGTTGGGAGAGGAGTGGCTATAGAGAAGCCCTGCAGGAAAGGATCTGGAGGTGCTGGTTGACAGCAGGCTCAGCATGAGCGAGCAGCATGTTCCCTGGCAGCCCAGAGGACAAAGCCCATCCTGGAGTGCCTCAAACAGAGCTCAGCCAGCCAGTCAAATGAGGTGATGTCTCGCTGGGTTTAGTGGTAGTATGGCCTCACCTTGAGTGCTGTGTGCAGTTCTGGGCCCCACGATTTAAGAAGGATCTGAAGGTCCTTGAATGTGTCCAGAGGAGAGCACCAAAGCTGGTGACAGGGCTGGAAGAAATGTCCTTTGAGGAGCAGCTGAGGACTTTAGGCTTCTCTGGTTTGAGGAAGAGGAGGCTGAGGGGTGACCTCATTGCTCTGCAGCTTCCTGAGGAGAGGAGGTTTAGAGGGAGATGCTCATTTCTTCTTGGGATCCAGTGAACAGGACGTGGCTCAAAGCTGCATCAGTCAAGAGGAAGTTTAGACCTGACCTTAGGGAGCATTTCTTTGCTGAGAGGGTGGTCAAACCCCCTGGAGCAGGCCTCCTAGAGAGGTGGTCAATGCCCCAAGCCTGACAGTATCTAAGAGGTATTTGGACAATGCCCTTAACAACATGCTTTAACTTTTGGTCAGGTAGTTGGGCTAGATTAGTACTGTATGTCCCTTCCAGCTCAACTAATTCTGATTCTATTTATATTTAAAAACAGCGGTGGACCATCCTTCATTCAGAATGGGTTTGTGAATTTAAACCATGTTTTCCTCAGTTTCAAAATAAGTTTTCTAGTTAGAAATACTTTTATTCACTTTGTAGAATCAAAGAATGTCTGGGC